TCATACACAAGATTTTTTCTAGAAAAAAGAAGATAAGGGACAGTGGTTGTTAGCTATACGCATAACTTTTTGGAGAGGAGGAGGGCGATAAAGGGCGACAAGACTATGATATATGATGGTCGACGGTCGATGATGAAGACTAGCGGTGTTTGGAAAATAGCTTTGTGGATGACTTTTGACTAACATTGACTTTTTTGACTAATCAAAGAACAAAAATCATTGGTGGGCTTATAGTTTTTAACTTAGCTGTTTGATCTCAAAAGCCAAGGCGAGTAGCTTTTGGATTTGGCAGTTAGAAAAATTAATTTTTTTTTATCATTTTTATTGAAAGATATTCAATAGTATATGTAAAAACAATAAAAGAAATTCCTTTAGAAGTTCTTCCTCCGTAGAAAAATAATATCATTTTTCTTAAAAAAATATATGTAAATGCTCTTTAGAAGCTCTTTTATTTTTTGTCATTTTATACTTCCTCCGTCTCATAAAAATATTTCTTTTTTGACATTTAGGAAATTTAAAGAAGGGATAATTTCGTGTTAACTTTTCAAAATTATCCTTGATGTGATCGGTAAAAGTAGGATGAAATGGTAAATTATTAGTAAAAAGATATAGGCCGTGTTTGGAAAAAAGGCATTTTGGATAGCTTTTGGCATCTTTGACTGACTTTGGCTTTTTTGACCAAGCGAACCGCCAAAACCATTGTTTGGCTAATGGCTTTTTCACTTGGCATTTTGATCCGAAAAGCCAAAATCTGAAATGCCAAGGGGAGTAGCATTTGGACTTGGCGGTTAGGAAAAATAATTTTTTAAAAATCATTTTTGTTGAAATATATTTTATAATATATGTAAAAAAATAAAAATAAAAATAAAAGTTAAAAAAATTAAATACTAAAAAAAGTAAAATTTAAAATTTAAAAATTTCAAAAAATGAAATGAGAAAATAAAAAGCAAAAATCATTAAAAATATTTATATTAACAATTTATTATGAATTAAATGGAATTAAAATTTAATACTCCATATAGTAAAGATTTAATTTTTACATGTAACAAAATGAAAAATAAATATTGTGTACGTCTATATATATATGTATATATATATATATATATATATATATATATATATATATATATATATATATATATATAGGAAAAACTATTTTCAAACAACTAATTTTACCAAACATTTTTAACGATCAGCCAATTCATTCTGCCAATCAAACCAGCTAAACTAAACAACCATTCACAACAGTTGGCACGAACTGCCAACAGCCAACAGCTGACAGCCAACATCCAAACAAAGCCATAATGTGCGAGGTAGGTTAAAGTGATTTTTTAATAGAAAAGAAAAGGCTTTCATAGGATAAGAAAAAAAAGAAACGGAAAGGAGTTTTTGGAATAGAGAATTAGTATTACAATTTCGAGTATACTGCCTCAAGCTCCCGTAGTGTACTTTTGTACCCTCCAAAGAAGTAAATCTTGGCTCCACCACTCAAGATAAAGAATGAAAAATACAAGATATGTACCGGAGTCTTTCATCAATAATGATGACCGGTGATGGGATACAGTCGAAGAAAGGAACATATAAATAAGTACGGAGTACTGAAATAAAGCGGACGGAAACAATGGTTTTGTGAAGATAGTCACAAGAAAGAAAACGTACAAATTGTTGTTGCGTGACTGAATAGTCTTGACGGAATATACGTTCAACCCGCGACGATTGGTTCAAAAATATCAAAAATAGAAAATAATAAAATAAAAAATAAAACCAAATTAAAACAAAAGACCGAAACAAAAGAAAACGTTGAAAGCCAGGGTCGATTTAATGTAGGCAAAAAGAGGTAATGCTATCACATGGGTAGATAGATACCTATGAGATATACTTTAATTTTTCAAGAAGTAACAAATGTGAAGAAGAAGAAGAATAAAAAATAAAAAATAAACAATGGAGTAACAAAGTTAACAGGTAATAGCTTTATCAAAAGCAAGTTCATTATTTGCTTCTTTGGGAAATGAATTGACACCTCACCCACTTTATCCCTATTGAAACTCATCTCTCTTTTGTGTAGAACAACCAACTTTCATTAATTCAAAAGAGACATAAGAAAATCAGGAAGGACAAAATCTCAATCACCTGTCCGAGTTTCAACCCGCCTAGCTAACGTATGCGCTACCACATTAAGATTTCTACGAACATGAGAAATCAAAACAGATTCAAACGAGGCCATGAGGGCCTTACAGTCATCAATCAAAGACCCGAAATAAGAAGCACAATCCGACTTATAAGGACCATATAAAACAAAATTAATGAAGTGGAATTTCAATCTACTTAATTAATTCATGAAGTGGAATTTCAATCTACGTTATTAATTGATAACAAGATTTTTTTTCATGGTATTGATATGAACATAATATTGTCTAGTAATGGAAGTAAATACTAGGACGAGGTAAATTGTTAAAATTCCGGCGGGCCAAAAACAACGGATAGAGTGTCGGGTAAAATTAACCACTTGCATATAAAGTCGGGATCCACAATTCTAACCCAAAAGCTTAAGCTGATAGGTAGGGCTTCACCCTTCAATATATGCAAGTGATACTCATCTTTATTTTCTGATGTGGGAACTCCAACACTCCCCCGCAAACGCGTGGCCTAGTTAGCACTTGGACAAACGAGTCTAGCATCTCAATCTCTTATAGCTAGCCCACACAACAGGCGGTGGCATCTCAATCTCTTTTTAGCCAACTCAGCCCAAACCACAGACGGGGTAGCTCATTTTTGCTAAACCCACATCAAAACAACCAGGAACAATCACACCCGAACCGGACCTGCTCTGATACCATGTTAAAATTCCGGCGGGCCAAGAACAACGGATAAAGTGTCGGGTAAAATTAACCACTTGCATATAAAGTCGGGATCCACAATTCTAACCCAAAAGCTTAAGCTGATAGGTAGGGCTTCACCCTTCAATATATGCAAGTGATACTCATCTTTATTTTCCGATGTGGGAACTCCAACATAAATTAAATTTTAAATACAGATTAGTTGTAAAGAATAGAGTTTGTACCTCATACTTGCAGAGATCGTATAAAACTCTACTAACATATGCAATAAAACATAAATTCATGAAGTGAAATTTCAATCTACTTAACTAATTGATACCAAGTTTTTTTTACATTGTATTGATACCAACATTATATTGTCTAGAATGTTGTAATTAATGGAAGTAAATACTCGTTTCTTATTCGATATATTATTTGAATGTTCTAATCCATTGTTATTTAAGATTAATTGGACACTTGCATAAGTATTCTGTTTGTAAAAATTAATATTTTCTAACCATTGTCTTTCCATTTCAAAAGTTGGGAAAGATTTTACGTTTTTTCTTTTTTACAAAAGAATATACATTATTTAAAAATACACTCTTTTCGAAATAAGTTACAAAGAGAGTACATAATATATTTTTTTAAATATTTCTTGTGATGGGTAAAAAAAATTATAATTATATTATTTGAAGAGACTTTAGACTTTGTGCAACTAAATTATTCCCCTAAAACAGGGATTATGAGGCTCCATTTTGTCGGAAACCGTACTTTCTTTATAAATTAAGGAGCATATATTTACACACTTATTTAGCACGCACGAAAAAGAAATTAATTTTGGCGTGAGAGAGAATTCTTTCCCAACTTTTGACCGAAATATCCTCTAGAAACCTCATTATTCTATTTACCAAAATAAAATAAATCGGTTCACACTAATTTGTTTGACAATTTTTAACGCTGAAGTGAAATATAATATTCCGTTCCGAAAACTAATGATAATTATCTTTGAAATTTGCCTCTCCCCTCTCTTTCTTCCCTAATTCATTGTTTGGCAACCAATATTTGTTATTGTCACACAAAAAGAAAAGGAGAATTTACCTAAATTGGATTAAAATATAATAATTTTCTCAATATAAAACTATGTCTTTATTTCTCAATGTAAGACCATTAGTCATTATCCACTAGTCATTATTCAAATAAACGTTCACCACCCCTGGACATTATTCCTCTCACTAGATATTTTTAAGTCTTATTTAAAGAATAAAAAAATTTGTCCTACATTGAAAAATGAATTATGCTTCAGTTCTATTTAGTGCAAATTTTTCAATAGAAAAGGATATTGGGGGTTGGGACTTGGGACGAGAAGGGGACAAAGGTAAGGATTATGAAAGAGGTAAGAATTGTATTAAATTTTTAGATAAAGGATCATAGGTGTCTCAAGGGAAAAGTTCTGTGACAATGGTTTCTAGTGTCAATGGATGGCAATTGCTCATTTGGAACACTTTCAGTGCTTTAAATGTAAAATTGATAGTTCTTATCTTTTCTAAACCCTCCACCCAATCCAACTCCTGCACCCCCACCATAAACCCTCATTTACCTTCTCCAAATGTGTGACTAACGAAATCAAATCTGAAAAATGTACAATTTGGACTTTTATCAAATCATATCAATTCAAAAAAACATAGTATATCCGTTCCACAATGAACTTCTTACTTTTTTTTATTGAGAGTTGGCCCGATTATATGATGGCCATGCACGAGACAAAACATATGCATTGATCCTAATAAATTAAATCAATGATTTTTGAAATTATAGTACTACACATAACAAATTAAATTTATAGTACTATAATTAAATATCTCAATAGTTAGTTAGTTACTTTAAAATTTAAGTTTTATTTAATTAAGTAATTTCATAATTTTGGTGTTAATTTTTTAATTTTGGATGACTAATAAAAATTTTGGATGACTAATAAAAATTCACTTTTTTTAATTAAGTAATTTCATAATTTTGGTGTTAATTTTTTAAACTTTGATCATAAATTATAGAGAAAACTTATTAAATAGGAATATAAATTTAATATAAATAGATTCATTTTGAAACGTAATTTTAAAATATCATATCTTTATAAGTTATATGTATACTTTATGTATAAATAAAAATATTAATGATTAAAATGTTATTAGTATATTGAAGTTTGAGATAAATCAAATACTCCCTGCGTTCCAAATTATAACCTACATTTCGAACGTGTAAATGTCACTTCTTTTAAAATCATTTTATTTATAAATAAATAGAGAAATTAAAAGTGAAAATTACATCATTCAAAAATAGATCAAAAGTTCTACAAAATAAGATGTGAGTAATCAAACAAAGATTATCGAATGACCAAAATAGTAACTGTTACTCACATTTCGGGACGGAAGGAGTAAAAAATAGATTAAGGGAGAGAGTATTAATTTTGATGTATTTATGCCTTTATGGTGACCAAACGGAGCACAACAATTTTTATGTACTCGAATTACATATAGCGATAGGAAAGCTTCATAAGAAAGAGATGAAGCCGAAAATTGTGGAGTGGGAGAGGACCAAAAGAGGGCACTGTAGCTTTAGAGTAGCTGAGAATTGAGAGGAGTGGAGATATTTGTAGTCTAGTGTGGAGTCTTCTTCTTCTTCCTTCTCTTCAGGGTTTTTTTACTATTATTTGGATCATCAGAGAAAAATTTGACAGAGAAGATCTTGAGGAGCTGTGAATGGTGTTGTGATCATGGGGAACACATTCCGAACACTGGCCCCAAATTCCGAGCAAACCCAAGAAACCCAATCCGCCATTGTTGACCCGGCGGAAGAAGAATCTCAGAACGGGCCCTTCACCTGCGAAATCTGCGTGGAGCCGATGATCTTGCCAAGAAAGTTCAAGAACCGGACCCTCTGCTCCCACCCCTTCTGCACCGACTGCATCGCCAAGTACATCGCCGTGAAGCTGGAGGACAACGCCGCCGCGATTCAGTGCCCCGCCGTCGACTGCCACGAGTTTCTGGACCCGATTTCGTGCCGGCCCATGCTCGCACCCCAGGTGTTTGTGAAATGGTGCGACGTGCTCTGCGACGCGGCGGTGCTGGAATTGGACCGCTGTTACTGCCCCAACCGCGACTGCTCGGCTCTGATCGTCAACGAGTGCGGCGGCGTCGTGAAACGCTCCAGCTGCCCTAACTGCAAGAGCGCGTTTTGCTTCGACTGCAAGCTTCCTTGGCACGCCGGCTTCCGGTGCGAGGAAAGCCGGGAATTGAGGGATGTGAACGACGTAGCTTTTGGCGTGCTGGCTGAGCAGAGAAGGTGGTCGCGTTGCCCTAGGTGCCGTCATTTCGTGGAACGCAGTGAAGGCTGCAAGATCATTCATTGCAGGTCCATTAATTTCTCCTCTTCTCATGTTCTTGCATAATACCCTATTACTAATCTTGAAATCCCAAATTTAAATGTTGATTTTGTGATCATTGGTGCTTTTGAAATCCCCCAATTGTGATCTGCTGCAATTATAGATTTATAGGGTTTAGACATGAGTAATTGTTTTGGGTTTGGGCTGCCCAGTCATTCAAAAGGATAATTTTTTTTGTGATTGCAGCAATGCTTTGTTTTTTTCAACCTTTAATGCTCTGCTGGAGCAACTAAAACCATGAAAGTTTCAGTCTTTGCACTAGTTTTGCTTGTTGAATCTAAAAGTAGAACACGAGATGAGAATCTTTGCATCTGGCTCTACCTAAATTCTTTGCATTTTATTCTTGCTGAATTTCCATTACTGTTTTTCAAAGAAAATTGCATTTTGCAAGCATTTTTTTCAATTTCTGAATCCTTTATCATGGATGTCTTTTTTATTCTTGCTTGCAAATTTGATTGAATAAATTCGAGTTTATGCATAAATAAAACAAACTCTGAATTCTATATAATTATGGATTATGAACAAATTGATAGAATCTTACAAAATCTTACTGATAAAATACATTAAAATCTATCAAACTCTGTGTAGAATTAAAACAATCTATGGACTTCACATTATCAATGGATTCTAAACTATAAATCTTTTATAATCTGAAGTGAATACACCCCCCTCCCCTTAGTTTTTAGATCCTGCAAGAAAGTGGGAATGACTTCTTTTTCATCAAGTCTTTAGTTAGCTTCTTGAATGATCATAGGAAGTGTTTATGTCTCTATGATTTGTTTATCATTATGATTGAACCCAGTGAATCCCTATTCTCTGGAGTAGAACTATGGAATGGGTACACATCAAGCCCTTGAGTGGAATACACCGGGTTTGTTTGGTTTGGTTTCTTTGTTGTACAGCCAAACCTTCTTTACTAAGAACTCTCATATCAAGTTTAAGGGACTAAAGTTGCTTAACATCCTTCAAATGATTTGGGATTGGTGGGGCTATCTATGATTTGCTTTACATGTCTGCATATTGGCCTTGGAAATACTTAGATATGAAAAGGGTGTCAAAGGTTGGATTGGCTGTTCTTACAATAATAACATCATAATTGCCTCATGCAGTCATGTGGATTGGCCAATAATTCCCCAGAATTCCCTTACTCCCAGGAATAGGGTGCGTTGTCCAGGTTTGGATACAAAAATAGTTGGGAATTAGGGAATTCTCGGGTTCTCTCAATTCCTGAAATTAGAGACATGTAATTCAAAACATGCTCTACTTTTGTGAGATTTTATTAGGTTCGTTGTTGTTGTTGTTGTAATTCAAACCATGATTTTATCTAATTCCACTATCCCAACCAGAATTTGAACAAAGATTCACAGATTTCCCGGCGTGAATTCTTTATGGTATGTTTGGATCCCGGAGAATACTAGGAAAGGAAAACAAATGCTAAAGAAAATTTATTTTCTTATGTTGTTGTTGTATGCTGTATTTTACCTTGGAAAATCCAAAGGAAAATGAATAAATCTGTTTACTTTTCCCAGGTAACTTTTGGGTTCCTGCAGACATGTATATATAAGCTCAACTGTTTGTATATTTATCTGATTTTCTAGTTTTGGGACGCCAGGTGCGCCATAAATTTTTGCTACAGATGTGGAAGACAAGTTCAACAGCACTGGTGCGGGTGCGACACGGCTTCATGCTGCTGCATATGGACCTGGAAAATCCTCATGTTCTTTATGGCACTCATGTTTTTCTACTTCCTCTTCTGGGGCTTTGGGATCAAACCCCGGTTTCTTCCCTGACTGACTAATGGGAAAGAGAAGATTCGTATGAAAGGTTTTCGAAGACGGTTAACTAGGCCACAGTTCATGGCTCTTCATTAGCATATCACTATATTTATATATATCATAATATTTCTTCTACCATATAACATTTCAATTATGTACATAGCTCTTGCCATACTTGCACAAGCACCTAATATATTTAACATATATGTTTATTGATCTACTGCATTTCATGCACAAATGTGTCATTTCCTCAATGCACCC